TTTGGACACAGGCTGTCTGTATTGTTTATTCAGGAAGGGCCTGCTGTGGACTGCGGAGACCAGACCCTGGAGCCAGCAAGTGATGTAAGTGGGAGGGACCCAGGCAGCTGCCTAATCTTTCTATCAGCAAGAGTTGTACTTCACTTATGCTGTAGATATTTCAAAGCATTTACTTTGATCCTTTAAGAGAGGCACTAAATTGATTTAGGATTAATCGAGGGATTTTTGTCTAACTTAAAAGCATTACATTATTTAATTTTAAAATATACTGCATGTGCCACTTGTTAAATGAAAGTTAATTTTGGCGTATTTAGTAATTATTTAATGTGTGTTTCACATTTTAAGAATGTAGGGATAAAGTGGCTGGATCTTTCTGTGTCATTGGTAGTTAATTTTTTCTTTCTTTTTTTTTTTTTGAGACAGAATTTCACTATGTTATCGAGGATAATTTGAACTATTGGGCCGAAGTGATCTTCTTGCCTCAGCCCTGGAGTAGTTGTGACTACAGGCATGTATCACAATGCCTGACTTTATTTCTTAAATAAACAAGAATGTAGGTTTCTGGGATGACGGAGAAGTCAAATTAGTTTCGTGCTTCTGCCTTGTTTTTGTTGACAGGGGTTTCTATTTCTTCTTGGCTGATTTCAGGGTTAGGTTTGGCCTTCCTTTCATTTATTGCCTTCTGGTTAAGATTATGTGGCTGTCACTTCCATAAATTGTCTGTTTTTTGGGTTGTTGCTGTAGACTTGCTTTAGGTTAATGTCAGAAATTCTTGTTGGTTGCTGAGTGATGTTGTCTGATACCACTTCTAACAGCAGATGCCTGTTTTGTTTCCCTAACATCAACCATTTCTCCAGTACCAACAGTTCAGTTCAATTTTGACATTAACTCCAGGAGTTAGTATAGACCCTGTGTGTTCAAGGCTTAGTCCCACAAGACTGCCCCTGCTTCAGACACTTGCCACAAATGAGGCCCCAGGACCACACTTGTGTCTGGTCAACACAAATTCAGGGTTTCCCATGATCCCCCTTGGGTTTGATAATTAGCTAAATTATTCCCAGAACACAAGGACACACATGTTTCCTGATTTATTATAAAGGACATAACTCAAGAATGGCCAAATAGTAGGAATATGAGGGGCACAGAGTTTCCATGTCCTCCCAGAGCACCCCGCTCTCCTGGTACCTTCGAGTGTTCTGGAAGTTCATGGAATCTTATTTATTGTTCAAGAGTTTTAGTAGAACTGAGAATGCAGTACCTCTTCCCTCTTGAGGGTCAAGGGCGGGGCTCAAACTTTCAACCCTCTAATGACAACCTATGTTTGGTTTTTCTGACAACCATCTCCATTCTGAAGTTATCTAGAGGTCCTACCCTGAGCTACCTCAATAGCATAAAGTTAGGAAATTTCAAGGGTTTTAGGAACTTCATACTATAAATGGTGAATGAAGACCAAGTATATATTTTATTATACCACAGTTCCAAAATGGGATATTAAAATTGTGATTAGGCGTTATTTCCCTGGATTAGTCTTTTGTCTTTGATGTTATATCATACTCTTGTCTTCTCCACAAACATTATATGGACCTGGGGTTTCTGATCTGGATTTTTAGATAATGTTACATTGTTAGAATGAGAGAGTAATTGAGATTTAGGGATATTTTGAAACTTGAGACATTTATTCTAAAGCATTTGTGATTTTGAGATTGTTTATAGTTGAAAAGTGAAATACGACTGCAAAGGCTAGGACATTCTGCTTGATGGCTGATATTAATGAAGGCGATAAAACTGGTACAGAGTACTTTGTGTTTATACTGAAGGAATAAGCTGAAAGAAATAGCCTTCTTGACTTAGGGAAATATTTGAGTAAATTTTGAGAGAAGACGGAGGTCAAATAACCTCAGCTGGAGTGGCTGGAAACCAGAAACTCAGCCTGGCCTCCTCCTACATTGTCTTTTTTTTTTTTCCTTGAACAAAACAAAATTCTTTCCATAGAGCTAAGTAGTGTTAGAGCCATGGAAAAATGTTTTCCTTTTTCTGAGAAGTGAGGAGTTTTGCTGTGATTCTGTCATTCTGTGAGTGTGCAGAAAGAAAGGCCGCATGTGTATTCACCATGTACTCACCATTTTCTTCATTCCCTCACAAACAGCAATATCCTATTTGGTGATTCTCTCCATTCTTCAATCTAAAAGAAAAAATAATCTATTTGAATAATTTTGAAAATTTACAATGTAGGGTTCATTAAAGAAAACTTGAAAAGTACACACCAAGAAAAGGAAAAGTTTATTTGTAGTTATACCAAAACCATTGCTAACATTTAGGTGTCAGTATCATGAAAAATGTTTTCTTTTTTTTGGGAAGTTGTGTATAATATCACCCCCCTCCACCATTTAATAGCATCACACAAGCATTGTTTTGTTGTTGCTTGTGTTAATACATTTTTTGTTGTTGTGACAAAATACCTGAGATAATCGATTTGAAGGAAGCAAGATTTATTTTGGCTTATGGTTTCAGGCCATGGTTGCTTGGCCTTTTTGCTTTGGGCCTGTGGTGAGCAGCACATCATGGTGGGAGCGGGTGGAGAAGGAAGTCTATTTACCTCTTGGCAGCCAGGAAGCAAAGGGAGTGTGAAAGGGTGTGGGGTTCCGACATCCCCATCAATATCCCCAATAACCTAATCCTTCCCTTTAAGCCTCCTTTCCTACAGGTTCCACCACCTCTCAACAATGCCAAGGCTGGAGACCAAGCTTTTAATACATGGGCCTTTAGGAGACATTTAAGATCCAAACTGTAACATTGTTGATGTATAATTGTCCTAAGATCATAGAAGCAGTATAATGTAGTGGTTTAAAGTTGAAGCTCTGATACTGAAGTACCCGGGCATAACTTGAGAAGGTTACTTAAGTGCTACCTGCCTTAGTTTTACATTTGTCAAATGGGATGATAATGGCAACACACTCCTAAGTAAAAAACTATGTAAATGTTACACTTCAATGATAGTTATTATCACTGAAATAAAGATTTTATTATCATAAATATACTTACAAAGTTGAAATTTTTATAACATACAGAAAAGCAGGAAAAATAAAAATCACCCATTATTGTAAAATTCAGAGAGAAACAGTGTTAAGATTTTGGAGTTTCTTTCTTTTTTCAGTGCATTTTCTTTTACACAGTTGAGATAATATTGCATTTCCATTTGTATCCTTATCATAAGCATTTTATATACTCTGTAAACATAGTTTTAAAATATTACATGAATCATCTCATCATCATTACTTGACCTTTCCCCCAATATTTTGACATTTAGGTCACTCTTTGCCTCCCTGTTAAACTGAGATAATTATAGATTAACCTCAGTTAAAACAGCCAGGGACCAGAATTGTCCCTGACCAGAGTGGAGCCTGCAGTGGTTCTTTTAGTCCCAAGATATAACGAGGTCTAATCCACAAATCAGTTAACAGAAGGTTGACCATATTATAAATAAGTGAGAAATATTTTTATAACAGTTTTTTATTCATTAGAATTAGAGGTTATTTTCTTAGACTAGATCCCCAGGATCAGAAATGCAGGGTCAAGGGATAATAAATGTTATTTTTTTGAAGATCATACTGATTTTAGATGTACAGCAACAGTGTATGAACCTGGCCCAATTTCTGGGGACCTCCAAATACTCCTCCCTCCATGCCTTCCTGCCCCAGCTCTGGGTCACTTCTTGGATCTGAAATATTGAGGAATAGTTGGCATCGGGTGCCCAAACTCTGAACTAGAGTTAATTCTAATTTAAATTAGCACCTTTGCCTCCTCCTCCTTACCCCTCCTCTTTCTTCCTCCCTAGCCCTTTCTTTGCTTCCTCTAATCCTCTTATACAGCTTTCCTCTTCTCCCATCAGAGAGGATATGATGGAATTAAGTCATGGCCATTAAGAAGTTAGTGACCTTAGCAGCTAGAATCATTGTTCCTCAGTGGGGTATTTGCATTTTAATAAAGGGTTCATGAAGTAGTGTTGAACTCAAATGACTGATAATGTTGACATTTGGGCACCCAGAGAGGGTGATGTCTTGGGTTATACAAATTATGCCAGTCTGTGGTATCCTAGATGTAGGCCAGTGCTGTGGATAGGGTGAAGTGAAGGCCAATCTCTGAGAAGCCTCAATTTCCTCTTCGCCAAAGCATTTACTTCAGAATAGAAATATGTTTTCCTAAAGGTAAAATGGGTCTCTCAGAGGAACTATTAAGGAAAAATTGTTTACTGAATTGGATATAATAAAAGACTGGTCAGCAGCATGTGCAGACTCTTTACATAAAATATAACTTTATGATACCAGGCAGGGCTCCTTTTATGGCTTTTTTTTTTTTATCATCTGGTTGAAATTGCTAAAGGCGTGGAGGACTTTTGCTTGTGCATCTGTAGCCAGTGATTTGATTAAATTGCATGTCCCTGGGCAAGCAGAGCTAGGAGGTCTCTGCATGGGGTCGAGGCTCTGATTAGCATGCTCAGACCTCTGAGTGGCAGAAGGTGGGTTAATTGATGGACTATTTCTACTTCAGCAAGGTCACAGGTATCTTTTAAGGCAAGGAGTACTACAGTTCTCTATTTGTGGACTTTCACATTTGTTTTAATGGATTGAAAAGTCAAAGAAAGAGTGTGTGAGAAGAAAATGGGAGGCACATGGACACAATGAGGTAAACTCTAGTTTTTACAGATGGACAAGGATGAGTAGAGACAAGTTCTTAGGAAGCTCTTAGAGGGCAGATTATAGCCCGTGCAACTACAGCCCTAGTTGGTCTGAAAGTAGGAGGAAGGGGAGACAGGAAAGCTTAGTCAATTGTCTGTTTTCAGCCATGTGAGCTTGGAGGCTTCAGAATCCCAGTCAGCAGAGAAAGTTGTCTTGAGAGGAGATGGCGGGTATCACTGGGGGCTGGCCAGACATCAGCCTCCCCTTGCTCTATTCCAGACTGGTCCTTCTTTGGCCCTCACCACCTCATCTCTTTCCTTCTAGCCTGATCCAGCCTGATGATGGCCCCACTGGTCACTGTGGTGTCCAGCCCCCGTGCCCGGCTCTTTGCCTGCTTCCTCAGGCTAGGCACTCAGCAGACTGGCTCCCTCCAGCTGCATACAGGGGCCAGCTGTGCATCCAAGAACCACTATGAGGTGCTGGTACTAGGTGGGGGCAGTGGTGGTATCACCATGGCCGCCCGCATGAAGAGGAAAGTGGGTGCAGAGAATGTAGCCATCGTGGAGCCCAGCGAGGTAAGTCTCCCCTTTTGAGTACACCAGTGTGTGTGTGTGTGTGTGTGTGTGTGTGTGTGTGTGTTAGGGATGCGGGTGCGACTGTCAGGCACAGGTTTGCATGTCTTCACGTTAGGCTGCTTTTTTATAACCAGGAGGAGAAATACTATCTGAAAGGATTGGGAGAAAGTGGAGGGAGGGAGAGAATGAGGACAGATCTCTTGTCTTTTTGTGTTCCTTAGGGTTGTCATAACAAATGAGTACAAACCAGTTGGCTCACACAGCAGATATGTATTATCTCACAGCTCTCAGAAGTCTCAGACCAAATTATTGACAGGGTCACACTCCCTCTGAAGGCTGGGTGAGGGACCCAGGCAGGGGAATTCATCCCAGGCTTCCCTCCCAGCTTCTGGTGGTTGGTGATAGTTCTTACCACTCTGTGGCTTGTAGATGCACCACTCCATTCTCTTCCTTACCTTCACATGATGTTCTCTGTGTCCCTGTGTCTTCACAGCTTGTATTTTTGTCGTTCTTTCTTTTGTCTATTCAAGTATGACCTCACCTTAATGTGATTACATCTGTGAAAATTCTATTTCCAAATAAGGTCATGTTCACTGGAACTGGGGTTAGGACTTGAATGTATCTTTTTGGGAGACACAATTCAACCATGATACCCTCCTACTCCAACTCACTGTTAAGAGGAAAATCAATTGCCATTGTACTTTTCTATCTCTGTTGCAGTCTGGAGAAGGGATAGTGATTTGAGGGGCAGATAGGCCTCTGGAAAGCTGTCAATGGGTTTGAGAAATTTAAGTGTAAGTGGATTATAAACAGATTATAAGTGAGAGAAGGAAGTCGATATTAGGAAGCAATGAAGTGAGGCAATGTTCCATGAAAAACATTTTAAGATTGTACAAAAGCTTGGGAAAACTATTCAAAAATTTTGGCTATTTGCACAACATTTCCCAAGGAACTGAGTGTGCACCAGCTGGAATCTCTGTTCTTGGGAGAAAAAAACAACATGAGTCCATGACCTGGTTTGACAGGGAGGGTAGGATGGAAAGACATACTTCTTAAGATGTCTCCCCAACCAGAAATAAGGCTATCCAGACCTATAATGGGAGAGAAGACTTTGGAGTACTCTCTGCAACTTTCACTTTTAAAGTGACTTCAGTTAGGGACACCATTCCAAGTGACAGTAGTCTGGAAACTGTATCAGGTGGCTGTTCTCTGGTGCATGCTCTATTGTGGCTAATCCATGGATGGTCTCCCACTGGCTTCTCTTTGTAATTAGACTGGTTCTTCTGGGGACTGGACACACTCAGAAGCCAGAATCGTGTCTGTCCTGCCTCTCAAGGAAGTACAGTGCAGGAGCCTCTTGACGAAGCTGCTAGTGGTTAGGCTTTTAGCACCTTCCCTTCTGTGTCTGATTGAGTGATTGCTAGAGCTGATGTTTGTGGTCTAAAAAAATCTGAGCTTGCATTTTTGTTGTTCTTTCTGTTCATGATGGACTTGAAATTGATGCATTCTCACAGTTGGAGACCACTGTCCTCCTTCTCCTTCATCACACTCATTGCTGGCTATAGGGAGATTGCAAATCATTCTGTGTCCTCTTCACCTCCTTGTGGGTTTTGGCTGCTCTGGCCAGCCAGTCTGAAGTATTTTAGCAATACTAAGAACTCTTTGTCCCCTGGTCCACCCTATGAATGCATCCTCAGAAGCCATTAAATCAATCTGCCCTTTGCCCCTGAATCTAGAACTTTCACAACTAACTTATAGCAAGACTGGACCATCTGAAACAAAAGGACTCCAGAAAATGGTGAAAATTTGGGCAGGCAGTGCACTGTGGGATAGGATTTGGCACCTATTGACTTTGAGTGGCTAATGTGAAGTGTCTTCAGTGCTCCATGGGCTTGGGGAACACAGTTTGAAGTTAGTGAAGTTTCAAGGCTCCCCAGAAGTGGCCCAGACTTAGCATTGTCTCCATATACTTCTCAGGAAGGATGTATAGGCTTCTGGGTTTAATTTTTCTTTAAATTTGTGCACATAAATATATTCATAATGTGTGTTCATATATATGTATGTATATATACATATACATACATATATATGTAATATATGTACATGTATAATATATATATATATAAAACACCAAGTCAAACTTTAGCAATGAATAATACAGTGGTCATTAAAGATAGCTTATGCCTTTTTAATGATCTTGGATGAATTTTTGGGTTGGGTGGCTATCCTTCAGAGTTTAACATAATAGAATATAGAAACAGGGCAGAACTAACTTTCTGGACTAAGAAATTTACTTTTTAAAAAATATAGTGCTCTAACAATCAGGAGGGAGTAATTGAGAAAGTCTGGTTCAAACACTTTTAACTAAGACCCTTTAGGTCAGGCTCAAATTGAAATAACTCTCCGAATGCTTTGTTTCACAGAGACATTTCTACCAGCCAATTTGGACCCTGGTGGGTGCTGGTGCCAAACAGTTGTCCTTCTCTGGTCGTCCTACAGCAAGTGTGATTCCATCTGGTGTAGAGTGGATCAAAGCTAGAGTTGTTGAGCTGAACCCAGACAAGAATTGTGTCCACACCGACAATGGCAAGGAGGTAACCTTCTGGGACCTTTGGATTATTTTGTTAATCTGGTGTCTTGTATTGATGCACAACCATTCTCAAACTGGACAGTTTTCTGGTGAAAGAATGGCATATGTGTGCGTGTATGCAGGTATGTATGGGTGTTAAACACTGCACAAGATGTTAAGGTGCATGGCAAATGGAAAACAGATGGAGGGACTTACTGATGTTAAATTAATAAATAAACTACCAAGACAAGTATTTGTTGAACATCTGCTGTGTACCCTATTGATTAATATAGCATCTTGCATCTGAGTGCTTATTGGACAAATGCTATTGCTACATGTTAAAAGGACAGGCATCTCTTTCCTTTGGAAGCAGTTGTCTTTTCTACTTGACACCTGGCCTCCCAGAGGAAAGGGATGTAGGGAAATAGTCATTCCATGAACTTGTTGCCAGGGGAGTCCTGCCTGCTGCCAGAGCTGGAGACTCACAATCACTCAGCCCCATTTAGAAATCTCTTCCTTTGCCCACCACTCAGGAGTCAAAACTTTTCAGCAACTTTTGCTGAAGAGGGTAGTGAGATTATAGGCGTCGAATCCATCTACAATTTCGTGTCTGTCATTTGCTGCTGAGCCCAGGATGCTCTCTTCCAGTCTCCTGGGGTCCTTGGGCTCCTAGGATGTTGTCGACCTTCATATCTGTACCTTCTCCCTTCAAATTGGGGTCTGGCACTTTTGGAGTTTAGCATCTAAGAGCTGGTGAGAATCTGAAAGGTTTTGAGTCCAACTCCCCCTTCTTAGCAAGGATTCATTTGCTATACACGTTCTTAAGCTTTTCTTGGGCCATGCATGAATCTTTCTGAGTGCCTTATGAAAGCCCTTGCTAGAAAAACACATGTGTACCATAGTTTGCATTTAATTTCAATAAGTTCAGAGATTCTCTGGAGCCTTTCCTTGAACCTTGATTAGGAGTAGCTACCTTATGGCATTTATGATCCAAGGCTCTCTGGTTTCCATTCATCACTCTACAAATATTTATTAAACACACCTACAAGAAGCTAGGCACAGTTTTAGGCATTAGGAATACATGAGTGGCCAAAAAGACAAAAAATCCTGACTATCCTGGATTTTTTATCCTAGTGTAGGGAGGACATAATAAATAAATATAATGAATAATAGACAAAATAAGCAAATTATATACTATGTTAGAATGTGTTAAGCATTATTGAAAAAAAAAATGGAGCTGAGTTATTAGATTGGAGCCCATGGGAGTGGGGGTTGAATTTAAAACAAAAGAACCTCTTGGTGCCCTTAGGCAGGCAGATTTTAGGAAGTTCTGCTCTTGCCAGATCAGAATCTACCTTCCTTTAATCTTTTCCTTATTTTTTCTTGGGCCTCCATGGTATTATTGTTCTTAATATTTTACTACCTTTATAATCCCTTTCTTACTCCTTGGTCTGCCCACTAGTGTGTAAGAAAAAGCTTCTTTCTTTTCTGTGCAGAAACCCTTCAACTCTGTTAAGATGGCTCTTATATTCTGTGTGAGTTTTTTTTTCTGCAGGTAGACTTCTCTCCTGTCCTCATGTCCCTTGACTCTTCCTTACCTTTCATGGTTTCTGGTCCCCTCAGTCCCCTCTTTGTCCTCCTTGGGACATCATCTGGCTTGTTAATGGCCCTGTGAACCAGGAGTCTAGATGAGAAGGAAACTCCACAGAACAGCCCAGAATGGAGTGGGATTGTTCTCACCCACAATCAGATGCTTCCTAAGCTGCCTTTGCCCTTTTAGTGACAGTCACCACAGTGCTGATTCATGCTGAGCTTGAGGCCGGTTCACATCTCTGGGTCCTTTCCATGTGACCCACTGTCAAGTCAGGCCTCTCATGCCCTAGAAGAGTGCACTTGTCATTAATTTTACTTAAAAACAGGCAGGTATATATACACATATAAGTAAATATATATGTGCGTGTATTTTTTAGTTAAAAATATAAATGTATACAAAATTTAAATGTATAAAAATATTTTCCCCTGTCAATGGTTCAGAAATTCTTTATTTTTCTGTCACCAGGAGGCCAGACTGAATTACATAGATTCTTTTTAGTTCATGAGATTGAGCTCAGTTACTGGTTTACCTTTCCAGTCTTCTGTTCATAGAGAGGTCCTCTTGTGTAACATATGTTGCCCTTGGTCCAGCAGAGCCTGCCTCATTGAATAGACCCCTCAACATCCTCTGTGGTTGGGCTCACATTCCTCTTAGGACCATGAGCTTGTCTTATCTCTTGAGATTGAGAGCACTTGTCAGCATTCTCATAGCTGTGCCCTACTCATTACTCCTAAGGTTCAGACACTTAGGAATGTTGTAGGGTCTTGGTTTAAGGTTGGGGAAGAAGGTGGTGGTGCAATGTGGTGAAACTTTTCTTTCAGGATTTTATTAAGCAAAAGTATTCATAGATAGACGGTCTCAGAAGTCATCACATAGCATCTCGTGTGAGATATCATCTTCTTGTTTGAGTTCATCCTCCCAACCGGTTGGGATCTTTTGGATTTATGAATCTGTCACCCAATTAGCAAATTTTCCTAGTTGTTATCCACAGATGGCTTCATTTGAAGTTTTAATTTTATAATATATCCCTAGAGAACTTATTTTAGATTGCATAAATTAATCAACATTCTTTAGCAAGTATTATTCAATTTACCAGTCATTCCATTCTCAGTTTGTACTTTTCTTATCTTATCCACTAGGTGAAAGACTGAATTGAAGGAACCATGGAAACCAGACTCTGTGTCTCTGACTCTTCCCCCACACAGTAATTTATTTGGAACAGTTCCTATAACGCAGTAGTAGGCTTGTTCCTTCTCTGGACTTTACCTGGTTTTATTCTCTACATTGTTCCTGCTGCACTGGCCTCTCATTTCCTCAAATGTCTTTGCCTCCTTCTTACCCCAGCGGATTGGGTTTTCTCCTCTACCCCTAGCTGACACCTACTCAGCTTTATCTTAGAAATGACCCCTTTGGGCAAGCCTTCCTTGACATATCATACTGGGTCAAGTTTCCTCTTATTGTGCTATCACAGCATTCTGTGATTTAGTAATTATCTGATAACTTTCTCTTTCCCACTAGACTTCTCTTTCCCTGGAGGGCAGATACTGTGTCTGTCTATTAGTCATTGTACACTCAGGACCTAGCATGCTATTTGGCACATGGAAGGTGCTCAGTAAATATTTGTGAATAAATAGTGTTTCTGTTTCTTTATTTGTAAAATGGAAATAGTAATATCTACCTTACTGGCTTATTATCAGCTTTGAAAATATGAGTATTCTATGAATGGAAATATGGAAAGCACTTAGAACAGTATCATGCACAGGGGGAATGCTCAAGGAATTTTATTATTTTTATTTTTTTATTGGTTGTTCAAAACATTACAAAGCTCTTGACATATCATATTTCATACATTAGATTCAAGTGGGTTATGACTTTTATTATTTTTAAAAAGAATACAAGAAAAGAAGGAAAAGGAAATATTTCCTGCGTGTGCACTGTATGCAGCACAGTCTTGAATGCTGACTGAAAGCAGGTGGATCATCTCTGAGCACTTGTCGGTGCTCTTCTTTTTCTAAATTACCATGTGGCATCTATTTAGTAGATGAACTTGGAATTCTGCAAGGGATTAGCAGTCTAATTTACTAAATTCTCAGTGTCAGGATTGTCCTTCCCCAGTCCTGAATGAGGTGAGTATAGTTGTCCATATTCAGCCTTCTAGTGAGGTCCAAACTGTTCTCTGTAATTGCTCCAAAGTCTTGACTGCCAGATTTTGCAATCCTTAGGGTTTAGGTCATCTGGCCCAGAAACTTAAACTCATTCAAAAGACTTAAAGCTTTTATTTTATTTTTTTTGTTCTCTTACTGTCCAGGGCTTATTCTCCCTAATGATTCCACATCTGCCCACTCCCCCATAATCTTAAGGTTGTCTGTTCATAGTCCTTGGAAATAATCACTGTTACACTCTAATAAATTTATGAAAGTATGCACAATTGACCAGTGTTCCTGTATTTCATCTTTAGATCATCAACCCCAGATCCCAGGCCACCTCTCACCTCACATGCCCTGATGACGTCACACAGTTCAGTCAGCCATTCGATGGGCCTCTTTAGAATTAAGGAGTTCAAGGCACCAGTTGTCTATGGATAGGAAGAGCATATGAATGAAGATAGTTATATCACCTGTCTACTTTGATAAATTGTAATTTGTATAAGCAACTTAAATCATCCATTCATCTATCTAATAAACATTACTGAGTTCCTCACTTTAATTTATTGACCCTGCTAGATTCTAGCAATACATGGAATAGGAAGTAAACTTTCATCTTCTACAAGTGTTCCATGTAGTGGGAAGGGGAGAACTCCTGTGTTTTAAAGTGAGTACTATAACATCTGGCATACCGCACTAAGGGAACCCCAGGAGGGTCTGGGGTCTGGTGGCAAGGGTGACTAAGTCATAGGAAAGCTTGGTGACCTCAGAGCTGAGTCTCCTGGATTCCAGGGCAGGACATTTTCAGCCACTTTTCCCCTCTGGCTTTCCAGATGAACCTGAGCATTCTTGAACCTTGGTGTCCTCTTTCTTTATCCAGGCATTCGCTCAGCCTGCCAACTTTGCTTCTCCACTTGGTATGAGATCATGGCCATCATAACCTATTGCTCCTTGCTGGGCTCCCGAGTCCCAGTTTAATCATTTTCCAACTCTGGTGTTTTAGTGTTCTTATACTTTTCATCCTTTTTACATACTTTTTGTCCAACCTTTTTTTTTTCCTGATCCTAAAAACCTGCATTTTCATCATAATATTTATGTATATTATTATCTTCCTAATGAGTAATCACAACATCTCCATCTGAAGAGGGGACTTTTTCACATATAGATCATTAAGTAAGAACAAATAGACTGTATCACATCCTTTTTAATGATTCTCAAATAGCAGTTTACCAATTATGATATTGGTCCAATTCATGTCTTTAGATTTAAATAAAATTGATTAGGAAGTCATTCTCTCACCCCTAAATATAAAAAAAGCATCAATACAAGCATTGCACAAATAAGTGTAGCATTTATTATTTTTCAATCGTGTAAAACCTAGGTGGGCTTTCAGGGGTCAGGCAGGTTACGTAGTATTTGTGAAGCAGTCAGGTGAGAGGCCATAGATAAGGGGCAGGATGGCCAGTCAGAGTGAGCATCCCTCCCTGCCATTCCTACCCACTACCCTCTGCCCCAAGACATTCATAGTGACAAATGGAAACACAGTTCTGACCACACACATCTGGGGCCAGAGTCATTTGTTGGGCTGCTGCTTTTTGAGGCCTGGTCTAAAATAACATCTTTTTGTGTTGCAGATCTTCTACAAATATCTTATTATTGCTCTTGGAATCCAGCTGGACTATGAGAAGGTACTGTTTAAAATTGTTCCCGTGTTACAGTGGCCTACTTATGCCAAGATCAAACACTGCATTGGGTTGCTTTGTATTTATTTTTAACAAGAAAGAAGATCTAATGAAGCCTCTCCTAGTTTTATTTCCCAGTGGTCCTTTTATGGTGTAAAAAGTCTTTTCTAAGATTCTGTCAATGATAACAACGTGCTTTAGCTTTAAGCTTTAATCAGAGTTCAGCATGTGAGTGCCCTGATAGTAATTCTCGCCAAATAGCAGCCATGTCCACACTTGTGGGACTGAGTTTGCTGTATTAAAGATTACATTTTACTTTGGAAGTAAGATTTAGATTATGAATTCTTAAGCAGACTTTAAGGGCAGAATATCAGCTGCTGGAAGGACATCTGGGTTTTGTTGTGCAGAGGCTGGATATTTTAATATGAAACCATAACACAGTAAAAACACTACCCTAGAAGGTCCTTAGCTCTTTTTTCAGTGAGCTTGGGAACTAGATTCTAACAACCAGATTCAAGTTTATTTTTCTAAAACATTATGGTATAAATCAGTAATTGCTATGATTTCCTGAAATTGTTGGGGACTGTGGGTAAATAGTTGAAACACATAAAGCATGGATCACAAGCTGTGGGAATGTGATGTTGTAAGAGTCTCATCTGAGGTGGCCTAAGAAAGGTCTCTGAAGTAAAAAACCCAAATCATTCCATGTGGGGGATGAGGGTGGCGAAAATGTCCTCGGGTGTTTCATGCAAAGATAAGTGTAGCATTGGCTACACTTATAAGTGTTTCATTGGCTTCTCATTGGAGAAGCCAATGGTGAGAATGTTGCAGGATGATTTTGAGTCATGGTGTCATGGGTCATGTCTAATATAATAACAGAAAAGTTGTGGAATAGACTGTATGGAGAAAGATGTCAATTGCAACTACTTTTGGGAGGTCCATGCCTCCCCCCACAGCCCCACAGTGTTGACTTATCAAAGGCTGCACATCTCTATAGTACTGGTTCCCCAGCGGCCCCCAGTGCCTTATGAGGAGGACTGAGAAACTGGTGCTGAGAATTCTTAGCATTTTGAAGCAACTATTATTGTGGAATCTCTACAGTGTGCCAGGAACCATGCTGGAAGTGTGACACTGACTCTTTACAACTTCTCATGAGGGAGATGTTCTTATCATTATGTAAAAGATGAGGAAACTGGGGGTAAGAGAATGTGAGTAACTTAGCCATGGCTAGCTTGCTGCTTGGCACTCTTGGATGGTACTAGATAACTACTCAGGTTAGCGTAAACCAGAAAAGAAGGGGGAGTTATTTGATAAAAATATTGAGATGTCTATGGAACTCTAGGGCAGAAATGTGGTGGGTCCCTGGGCAGGTGGAATCTTTGGTATGGGTTCTCTTGGACCTCGGCAGACTCTCTCTGCCCATCTGTCTCTGCGTCTTTCTCATGCCAGCTTCATAGGGTATCTGCACTGATCTTCGCTGTGTGACAGGACAGTCCTCAGCTTCCCAGAGCACAGCCTGTTACTGTTCAGCCAAAGGGCAGTTCTGACTCATCTCTTTGCTGACTCTCACTCCTTCCTTCTCCTCCCTGCTTGGCATCTTTCTGCTTCAAAGTCTCCAGGAAGCAACTCTGATGGATGAGGGGTCATAAACCTTCCTGAAAGGAACTTGGTTACCACTTTATGACATCTTTCCCCTTAATAACAGCTTCTTCAGACTAGAGAAAAATAATGAAGGTGATAAGAGGTTAGCTGTCTAATTATCTCTTGGAGAGTAGTTTTGCTTGGATTTGGGAGGTGTGGAAGTCCTGGGGGAAGACCCCTGGGAGGGTGGTCAGAGGGCTAGGTGTCTAGTTAGGTAAGATTCTGGGTTTGTCTCTTAGCCTTACTCTGCTTCAGTTTTCTTATATATTCTAAGGACTATTCCCTATCTCCCTCAGAGGTATAGTGTGTGGTGAATATCTGTGCCAGCATAGACGAGAAACTCTGTAAACGTTAAAACATGAGATGATTTCATAATCATGATAATGGTTATTATTATTGATACTGCTAATATTATTATCATATGAACTGTAACAGGAATGATCAGTAACAAAGGAATAGTTGTTCTTAACATTGAATGAAGATAAGTAAAGAATTCAGGACACTGCTGAATGACACGGTTTCCTTGAGATCCGAGGGTGTGTGGAGCGACCAGCCCATTTTGATGACTGTTTCTTGATGGTTGAGGTTGAACCTGCCCTTGCTGAGAACAGGTGCTTAAGTCTCCCTAACTCAATCTTCACTACAGTCTATGAACCCTCTAACATTTAGAGTACGCATCCAGTCAATCCTATTGGCAGTAATAAACCATTTATGGGGCACTGACTGTGTGCATGTTATTTTCCTAAGCCCTTTGCAAATGCATAGTCTCATTTACTTCTGCCAACAACCCTATGCAGCAGGTTTTTTTTAAAATCCCCATTTTATAGGTGTTAAATATAAGCTTTTCAAACCTCAGTGTGCCTCAGAATCACCTAGAGGTTGATTTGGGGGCCTGTTATCAGAGTTTCTGATTTTAGTAGGTTTAGGGTAGGGCCTGATAATCTGCATATCTAGTAAGTTCCCAGGTGGTGCTGGTGCTGCTGATCTTTGAGGCCCATTGGCTTAGAAATATTAGATAATTTATTCAGGAGAATAATACTATTAATTGGAAACCTAGGACTCAGATCAGGTCTGTAGGATTCTAAAGTCCATGCTTTAAAAGTCAGTTATCTGACTTTATTGCCTTTACCTTTACCAAGAATTTGATCTGGTACAACTTAAGGGAGGGTAATTTAAGTTTGGTATTATCGGCAATATAAATAAATGGCTCTTGGTCCTGCCTATCCTCCTTCTTCCCAGTTAGGAAACTGCTTCTCTTTAAAGGAAGTATGGCTGCCATCCTGCCCTCACTCTGAAGGTGGGAAGAGCTACATTCAAATCATAGTCCCAGGCTAGGGAGATAGAGGGCTCCTGCAGGCTGGACCCAATCTGCAGTTGGACAGGTGGCTTCAGGTACCAAGATTCTGATCTGAGAACCCTCACTCACCTGGCTGCTCTGTGTGTGTGAATACTGGGGGTTAATAATAGTACTAGAATATTTGAAAATTTGTAAAAATAGCAGAGAATAAGGGCTCTAAAGGTATTTGTACTTTTGTTTAAAAACAATTTTTCTATGTGCTTGGTTGCAGATTAAAGGCCTACCTGAAGGTTTTGCTCATCCAAAAATAGGGTCCAATTATTCAGTTAAGACCGTAGAGAAGACATGGAAAGCTCTGCAGGACTTCAAGGAGGGCAATGCCATCTTTACCTTCCCAAATACTCCAGTGAAGTGTGCTGGAGCCCCCCAGAAGATCATGTATTTATCAGAAGCCTACTTCAGAAAGGTATGCTTCCTCTCCAGCACAGAGGGGAGGGGTAGACAGTGACAATACAGTGATCACCAGAAATCCATATTTGTTCCTATCATAGAATCTTTTTTATTTCTAAATTTTTATTATATATGTACAGAATTATATAATTGGAAGTTTACAAGAAAAAAGGGAATAGTCACTCATATTCCATTTGCTCTAATAAAGCTCCTGTCATCAATTTGACATGTCCTTTCAAAGATTTTACAATAGGCTTTTAAAGAATATGATTACCATTATACTGTACCCACCAGTTCAGTTGTATTACATATTATTAGTCTTTATGACATACTTTTTAGTATGTGTATAAAAATCCACTGAGGAACTATATTAGAGATTGTTTAAATACTTCCATATCTGTAATTAGACAATTAATTGCAAATCATTCACTTTTCTATATAATGCCATCCTCAACTGCTTCCAATCAGATTTAAGATTTTGAATATTTTCTTGCTCTTGATATGCATTTTTGCAAATATAAAGGCAAAATGCCAATTTTAAAGGAAAAAAATGTTCATATGAAACTTTGAACTTTTGTGGAAAGAGATTTTGGGTGGGGGTGGCTTTCTCAGCTTTTTCCCAACACCCTTTGTGTAAGGGTGGATGTTTGCAGCTCAAGTTATGCCTGGCATGAGATTGTGAGGACAGCTCTTCTCACCCACTGTGCCCATGTCTGAGATGGACACTTGGGTCATCAAAGTGTGGTTTGACTAAAGACACTGATAGGACTCAAAGAAGGCTGTGGTTCTATAAAGAGACCCATGGGGAGAAGGGGTATGGAAGCTGGGACTGAAGATTTGTTGCATGTGCATTCGGAACTTGGCACTGCTCAGAACTCACCTGAGTTCTGTAAACTGCAACAACCCTGTAGGGTAGGGAATGAAGAGATAGCTCCAATTATAATTTCTGACTCTAAGAAAGTTTATTCTGGGTCATAAGGGGTTGACACAACCTTTTGAGGTTCTTACCCACCTATCTTCTTCATATGGTGAGATCCAGGTAAGCGAATCCTAAAAAGAGTGGAATAATGAAAGGGCAGGAGACCAGCTGTTTCTTCCATCCTGGGAGTTCCCTTTTCAAAACTCTTTTCTCCTATGTCTTGGAAGTCCTGGGAGGAAGGTTCTCTCTCAGGTGCCATAAGATCTTAGAATTTGAGAGAATACTGTCCTCCTCAGAACACCAAGGCTGTAGGAACTCTTTTATTCAGTGTTATTCCTACAGCACCCAGAACAATACCTGGCCAGTTCAAGGACTTCAGTAAATATTTATTGAGTGATGGAATCGTGAGTATATGAATAAGCAGTTCAGCTCTAATCTTTCTTTACCTGGACTTGACCTTCACCTCTATCCTTTGGTGGAACAAACCTCCAACTCAAGGATGTACTTAGTTGTTGTGTCTTGGGCAGAAAATAAAAAGGAGGCATTGGATCAACCCACACCTTACCCTACTAGGTTACAGAGATGTAAAGATGCAAAAAAAGCTGACAAATTTTCTTCTGAGGGTTTTAATTCTTATCTGGGTTTAAAAAAAACCAACAGATGGCTAAAGTATGCTCTGGTATTGGTTGTTTGTCTTCTTTCATTTTTTTTTTTTTAGACTGGAAAGCGATCCAAGGCCAATATAATTTTTAACACTGCTCTTGGAACAATTTTTGGGGTTAAGAAGTATGCAGATGCCCTGCAGGAGATCATCCAGGAGAGGAACCTCACTGTGAACTATAAGCAAAACCTCATTGAAGTCCGGGCTGATAAACAAGAGGCTGTTTTTGAGAACCTGGATAAACCTGGAGAGACCCAAGTGTTTTCAGTGAGTGTCAAGGTCAAGGTGACTGCCTGAGGTCTTATCTGCTGACCTGAGGGTGGATGTAGACTCTGGGTCCCTTTCTACCATCATCACATGCCAAGGAAGAGTGGTTAAAATGAGCATCTGAGGGCATTGATAGGCTGAGGAGGTGGACCAAAATGGGTTGGGAAGAACAAATTGGAAGAGGCTGTGTCAGTGGGAGGCAGAGGGTTTATCTACTGGTGGCAAGTGAACTTTTATCCCATTCCTTTGACTCTACTTTTCCTGGCACCACATCACTGGAAGCAGCCAAAAATATTTCACCACTTGATTGATTGACTGATTGGTACTAGGGAGTAAACTCAGGCACTCGACCACTGAGCCACATCTTCAGTCCTATTTTGTATTTTATTTGGAGGCAGGGTCTTACTGAGTTGCTTAGCGCCTCACTTTTGCTGAGGCTGGCTTTGAACTCATGATCCTCTTGCCTCAGTCTCCAGAGTCTCTGGGTTTATAGGAGTCCACACCACTTTAGTTATCACCTAAAGAGTTGAGGGAGGGTTTCCTGAAATGCAGGATACGATGGTAGTCTCAACTTGTGCCCCGTGAGAAAGAGCCCTTCTTGTGAGCAGGAAGCAATGCTGGAGTACTTCAAGAGTAACAGAGGTGTCTTTCACCTGTGGAAGAGACTGTTAATGTCTTTCACTTGTGCATAAAAGTCAGCATTTCAAAGTCCTTCTTGAAGAATCTGGCAGAACTCCCACCTTTTCTGGAAAGATCTAGCTTTTCTTTATGTGTCTCAGTTTCTTCTGTGAAGTGTTGATAGTACTTTATAGAGGCATTACAAGGATTAAGAACAAGATGTAAGGGAACCTGGAGGAGAATATTAGTTTACACCATTCTGGCAAGAACTGTTAGCAGTGAGGAAGCATTACACAGTCACAGATTATTCATTCAGCATTTAAAGAATGAAGGGTTCCATAAAAAGGAATTTTGAGGTGAATCAAAGATCAGTCTTTGGAACATGAAAATTTCAAATTTTAAGCATTTTAGTTCAAAGTCTTTTAAAAATTGATTGCCCATATCTTCCCTTTCTTAAATGAAGTGCACCGAATATCATTAAAAATGCTACTGATGACTCAGGGTCATAACCTCAAAAAACTTTTATTTGGAAATAATTTCAAATTTAGAGAAGCTGCAAAAATAAAAAGAACATAAAGAAAATTGTATAAGTTTTACCTGGATTCATTTATGGTATTTTATGCCATTTGCTTTAGTTACATCATTTGAGCTCTCTTTATCTATCTATCTATACACCTTTATCAATTTTCCCAAAGATAAGTTAGAGACAGATATCAAATATTATTATGTCCCCCTTACCCCTAAATACTTTAGAATACATTTCCTAAGTTACGGGAATTTTATTGCATAAACCATAGAAGTTCTCAACTTGGTATATTTGGCACAGATACTTTTTTTTTTTTTTTTTTGATACTAGGGATCAAACCTATGGGCATCTGTTTTTTTTTTCTTTCTAATTTCAAGACAGGGTTTAACTAAGTTGCCAAAGCTGGCTTATAATTTATAATTTATAATCCTCCTGCCTCAGTTTTTCAAGTCACTGGGATCACAGGTGTGCACCACCACACCTTGCACAGATACATCATTTTAATCTACTATTTATATGCATTTTTTTTGTCAACCAACCCAATAGCATTGACTGTACTTTTCCTCTCCAGTACAGGACCTCAGGGACCTAATATATAGTTAAGCATTGCATTTAATTGTGATGTCTGTTTAGCCTCTTTTATCCTGGATTTCTTTGTCTTCTATAACATTGACATTTTGGAATAATACAGTCCCCCTCCACCACTTGTTTAAAAAATACAATCTTCCACATTTTGGGTTTGACTACAGTTTCTTGTGATTAGTTTTGGGTGATTCTTCCTATACTGGACAATTGCATAACCAAGGTTGTGTCCTTCTAGGGAACCTCATTTATATTCACACAATGTTCATTGTCCTTTTATGGATGATGTGTATTTTGTCTTTCCACATGTTCATCTGCCTGTACACTCAAACATTTTTCTAATACCTACTCATTGCCATCAAGTTATAATCCAGTTTTTCCATTGAATAGTTACTATTCATTTTCTACCCTGCTAATATGAAAGTCTGTGGGGGGATACTGTAAGACCATATAAACACTGTACTCATTAAAGTCTCCCTGTAAACAAATAGCAACCATTGATGACACTTGCCTAGTCTAGTCTTTACTATGGTGGTTAGAAAATTATTGCTTTCTAACTTCAGAATTCCATCTCTTCTACCAGTAGGTTCTTGGCATTCTGTCATTAAGAGCCTTTCTTCTCTTAATTACTGGTATGGACTCATGACTTTTTATTACTCCCCAATAGTTTATAATTCATTTATGTCCTTAATTATTTTGGTGCCCAGATTTGGTCAGTGGGAGCCTTCCTGCCAGTTCCTGAATCACTTGTTTTTCAGCACTTTTGTCACAGGATGTCCCTGGTCATCTGGTTCTATCAGTTCAGAGTCATCATTTTGAAGGGCTCTCATATAGTGATGTTCAGAGGGCCAACTGGAATGAGAAGGGCTAGTTATCATTTTACAAAAGGGTCTGTGTTTTTGTTTCCATCTCTATCGTTTTTTTAAGATCATTGTGTTTTTTTTTTTATACCTTTATTTTTTAATTTATTTTTATGTGGTACTGAGGATTGAACCCAGTGCCTCGCACATGCTAGGAGAGCATTCTACCGCTGAGCCCCAGCCCCAGTCCCTGTGTCATTTTTTTTAAAAGTATTTATTTTTTAGTTATAGGTGGATATAATATCTTTTTATTTTATTTTTATGTGGTGCTGAGGATCAAACCCAGTGCCTCACGCATGCTAGGCAAGTGTTCTACCTCTGAGCCTCAACCCCAGCCCCCATCTGTATCATTTTTGTAGTTTTTGTGGCTCTCAGAAAATTGCAACTTTTAAAGATTGATTCCTCTCTCATCAGCTCTTAAATATTATGGACTGGAATATGAAAGAACCAAACTTGTTAAAAATTTTATATAAAGTAAAAGTGAATAAAATATGGGAAAAAGGATTATATCTGTAATACTGGAATAAGTTACCTGATATATAGTAGCTGATTGACAAATGTTGAATAAATACAACTCCCATTCATCCATCAAGGCTCAGCTCAAAGATCCCCAAACTGGGATCAGTATCTCTTTGTCCGAGTTCCCATAATACTCCCCTTACCTATTCCCTTGCAATGCAATTGCATTTATTGAGTTTCTGGTCCGTTTCTCCAGCTAGGTTCTGTACTCAAGAAGGCAGGAGTGATGGGTCTTTTAATTATATATCCTCATTACCCACACTAGCATCTGGCAATGAGTAGGTATTAGAAAAATGTTTGAGTGTACAGGCAGATGAACATGTGGATTGACAAATAAAAGGAGTAAAGAATGGAAATAAAAAGTGAATGGGGGCTGGGGATGTGGCTCAAGCGGTAGCACGCTTGCCTGGCATGCGTGCGGCCGGGTTCGATCCTCAGCACCACATACAAACAAAGATGTTGTATCTGCCGAAAACTGAAAGATAAATATTGAAATTCTCTCTCTCTCAAAAAAAAAAAAAAAAAAAAAGTGAATGGACTGTGAGTGAGGTAGGTGCCCAAAGCATATACACACTTGGGTGAAGGAACTTAACTTTGTAATTTGGTCTCTTTTACTTTGGTTCAACTATGCTCTGGATAGTTGAGTTTGCAGGTGGGGACTTGGATAAATGAATTGTTATTGTTCTTCTAGGAAATTTGTAAAGAAGGAAGATATTTGTGTCTCCTTTGATTGTAGGATTTTAGGTCAGCTATTCTTTCATTTCTACTCTTAATCTGAATTTTTAAAAATCCTCCAAAAGTCTTGTAATCAGTGGTTTTCAATGCTGGCTGCAAGGGAATCACCTGGGAAGCTTTTGAAATGTGCTGACACCTGGGTTTCCAGCAGAGATTTTGATTAATTGGTCTGGAGTGCAGACCGAGGCCGGGGAGTTCAAAAATTCCCTAATGATTATACTGTTCAACCAGGATGGAGAACAAACACATAAAAAATTAAATGTACTCAATAGCCTAATAATCTTGGATCCTCAACAGAGAGCTTATGAACTGATCTAGGTTTTCTATGGTTTTAAACATATAAACCTCTGTTTTATATCATAAAGTCTTAGAACTGGAAGGTAAGGAGTAAAGAGGGTGTGTGTGGGGAGAGCTTGTGGGGCTCTAGAGTGATTGAAAAGATGCAAATTTGGATGTTCTCCTTTTGCATAGTATGAAATGCTGCACGTGACACCGCCGATGAGCTCACCAGATGTCCTCAAGACAAGTCCCGTGGCTGATGCTGCTGGCTGGGTGGATGTAGATAAAGAAACTCTGCAGCACAAGAAATACATGAATGTGTTTGGGATCGGGGACTGCACCAACCTTCCTACGTCAAAGACCGCTGCAGCAGTAGGTAGGATACCCAGCTCTGTATCTCCTCTCAAATTGACGTCTCTCCAGGTCTCCATTGTAACAGAAACAAAAGTTTGGCACAAACAGTGTTATATTAATAATGGAAGGCCATTTTGTGGCCTAAAAATGACCTTGACCTCTCTGAGGCTGAAACAAGTTGTCAATGAACCTAGTGTGGTATGAAGAAGTAAACTTTTGAATGCTTTGTCCCCCAAAAGTGTGATCTTGTCTGCTTTTTCTTTTTCTTCCTTTTTTCTCTTTTGAAAAATTTTCTTTTTGTCCTCAAAAAAAGAAAGGATTAAGGATTAAACCCAGGGACACTCTACCACTGAGCTTCATCCCCAGCCGTTTTTATTTTATGTTGAGACAGGATCTCACTAAGTTGTTGAGGCTAGTTTTGAACTAGCTTCAGCCTCCAGAGTTGCTGGGGTTAGAGTGTGCACCACAGTACCTTGCTTTATTTGCCTTTTCCAGGTCAGAGGAGTTGTTTTTAGGGAAAGAACCCTAAACTTTCTAGCTCTCTAGAATTCTGGTACTTCTTATATTGCCATACTCAAATCCCTGGCCTTCTGAGCCCCTGACACCAGACAGGCTGGCTATTATTCTCTTGCCTGAAACACCATAAAACTGGAGAAGCCTTTGTTTCCCTAGAAAACACATGCAAGTCAATGAAAGCTTGCAGACCAGAAAATTGTTCTGTTAAGACAAACACAGTGGAGCATGCCCTGATTGGTACACGATTAAGGCCTCAGCCTGGAAAACTAAATTCTTCACCTCCATGTTCTGCTCTAGCAGTGATGGGGAGAATTGCCTTTTAGATTGTGTCCTTTACAGACAGGAACTGTCTTCTCTGGATGTTATAAAACATGGACCTCCCTGCTGATATGTATGGTTGTATTTGTGTGAATTCCACACTTGTGGAACATACTGTGCTACTTTCCCTTCTTCAACATTAACCCATTTTGTCCCACGTATAAAAAACTTAATTATATAATATGTATGTATAATCACACAATAATAATATAATTCTAATATTATAATATTAATTAATATAATTATAGATAAGCTCTAGGTTATGATTTCCAATCTATTTTAATACACCTGTGTCATTTGCATTGAAATATCCACAGAATTGAAAACTTGGGATGTAATGGGTTAAGATAGACTTTCTAAGAAAACCTCTGAATGTCTTTTTCATCATTAGAGGTAATTTGATGGTTTGAGATTTTTAATTTCAGAAATCTGAAATTTTTAATTTCAGAAATCTCAAACCAATGAAGAATTTGAAGGCAAGTACAGTGAATACTCACATGCCATTTAGGTATTAACCAGTTATTAATGCTTTTGACATTTGCTTTGTCACGCTTGGAACTTTTTTGCTGAGTCATTTGAAAGCGCAGTTTAGACATGGTAATATTTTACTTTAAGTACTTCATTCTGAATCTCCTAGGAGAAAGGACATTTTCCTCCATATCTATACAAGACTATTATCATGTCCAAGAAATTTAACATTACTTAATGAAATCATGTCATATGTATAATCCAGTTTGAATTTTTCCAATTTTCCTAAAAATGTCCTTTGTAACTCTCCCATCCCCTTTAAGTCCTGTCAAGGACTACATGCTGCACTGGTTGTCACAACTCTCCTGTCTCCTTTCATCTGGAACAGGCCTTCTGAAATTTGTATTTTTGCTTTAATGACATGAGCAGTTTTGAGGGGTCTACACATCTAGACTGGTTATCTTGTAGAATATCCCACAATTTAGAAATTGTCTAGTTGGTCTAGTTTTTTTTTTTTTTTGATTGAACATGGGGGCCTTGGCCCTGCTTGGCAAGTTCTCTTACTGCTGACTTACATCTCCAGCATTGTCTAGTTGTTTTCTTATGGCTAGATTCAGGTTAAGTGTTTTGGTGGGAATCTTTGTATCTCCTCTGGCCCTGCAGGAGCCATTATGCTAATTTTGTCTAGTTTTTGGTGAAGCTTGATCTTATCATTGGGTTAATTAAAGGATATGCATACCTCCCACTTCCTGTGGCCAAACCACCTTTTTTCTTTGTAATTTATATGTAGTTTGAGGGGCAGTACTTTTAATTATATTCACTTAATGCAAGCCTACACATTTGGTAGAAATACTGTGACTAGAGGCCCAGATTATGCAAAATTTGGCTTATTTCAAACCAACCAACCAACCAACCAACCAACTAACCTACCAACCAACAAACATGCATTTAATTCAATATTTCAGGTAGATGGTATTAAATATGGTTGAACAAAAATTACAGTTTGTTTTGTAATGGGCAAAGCCTTGCTCTCAGGCCTGTCTTCCATTGGCTCAGCTTCTATATTCCTCCAGCCATGAAGAGATCATCCCTGTTGTTTTTATATCTGTTTTCTTAGAATCTATATTCTATTATATGGTTTTTCCAGATCTATTGTACAAATCCACTCTTGGTTTGTATTTGGGTTCTTTTCAACCCATTTCATATCTAACAGTATTGCAGTGAATGCTGCTCTTTGTCATTTCACATCTGTGAATATCTATTCCAGCTTTCTCCAAGGAGGTTGGCATTTCTCATTAGGTTCCCCTCTGCCAGTCCTCTGAGTGTCCCGAGGCAATGTTCACACTTCTTCTGCAGTCATTCCTTCCCAGACTCTCCAGACCATTATGCTATTGTGAGTAAGACCTTGTCTTGCTGTGTTGAATGTGGCTTTCTTGGGGCTTCCCGCCTTTCTCTGCTTCTCTCTGCCCTAGGAGTCTCCTTTAATTACCTATAGCACAGCACAGCCAAGACTAGGATGTGGCATTTAACAAAGATTAACTGAGGGCTTTGGCATAACAGAAGGAGGTTGTAATACAGGGAAGAGCACAGCTCATGTTTGCCTGTGCACTTGCACATTGAGCCTGGGTGTGGAGTATGGCTGCTTACTGGGGCCATGGGCCTAACCTCTCTGCTGTGACACCAACTGGCCATGTTGCCCTGTAGCAGGGGCCTCCTCAGATCTTCTCAGTATAGATTCCAGACTCCTTATGGCCTGAAAGACAAAGTTTTCCAAAAGGGAAACATTATATTTAGAAATATTGCTAATATTGAATATTGAATAGTGGGCAATGAATAGTGGGCAATTTAATAGTTTTAAGTGGAGTTGTTTCCTTCTCTTTCTCTATCTCTCTCTCTCTCTCTCTCTCTCTCTTTTGAACCTCTTTATTCTAGATAAAAAAGAAAATCTTCATTGCTTTTTAAATTTGAGCATCAGCAAACTAAACTTTTCAGGCCAAATAGAGCCTGCTGCCTATTTTTGTACAGTTGGCTAAGAACAGTTTCTATGACAGAACAATTAATAATCAGTTCAATGATAGATAGCAATAATGTTTTACTTATTCTAAAAAAAATCATTATTCTATTAGTGAGAATTAGTAGATATGTATTATAAAAATTTATTATATTTTGAATTTCATCAACAAGATTTTTGTGGAAAGTTGTTTTTCTTTTTTGTTATCTAAAATCTCTGCTTTTTGTGTCTTGACCCACAAGATGTAAATATTTTCTTTACAGAAAAAAATTTCTGATCCCTTGTTTCCTGATTAATGTTACTTTAATGAGAGCTTTGTGATATAAAAGTAATGTATGTTTCCTTGAAAGGTAAACCTAATGTTTTATCTCTGGGTACTGCTTATTTCTTTTGGTAGTCTTAATTATTCATAATTGAACACACAGTGGGATTAGATGATATTAAGTAATTATCGCTAATATTTTTGGGTATAAAAATGCTATTGTTCTTGAGTTAAAACCTCATACCTATCAGAGATACACAGAAATATTTATGGTGAGTTGGTATGCTGCCTGCTATATAAATATTACATGTGTGCGTGCACATGTCTGTGTGTGCGCACACACACACACAGCATTTACAATGGGTTAGATGAAATAAAAATGGCAGTGTTTAAACATTCTCATAATAAAAAGGCAGCTGTTCTGCTCTTGTCATTGCAAAACAAAAACACACATCTGTAGGTATGCTAAGAGAGAGAGGTCAATGTGTAGATGGATGCATATAGATCTACATCTATATCCATCTGGTCCAGCCTCACCCTGCAGAGTGGAAGGCCCAGTGTTTTACTGAGTCAGATATGTCTGGGGCTGCCAATCTAGGATGTCTGTGAGCAGGGACACAGGGGTATCCTGGATGCCTATGGGACACAGGGCACGCAGACCAAACTGACAGCCATCAGCCCCCAGGAAGAGAGGGAACAGGGTTGGAGTAAGACCATCTTTATAATCCTGTTGAAGAGAGTTAGTGTTTTAATTTCTAAACAATAGAGACTTCCCTGTGGACCTCTGATGAACTGAAGGACGCCCCCCCATCCCCACATACACACCTCTGCCTCTAGTAATAGAACTTCAAGATCTAAGGAGGGTCTTGTTCCACTCTAGGGTGATGGGAAATAGAATCTTCTTAACTTGTTTACATTAAAGTCATTTGCAAATTAGTTTTCATGGAAAATCTAGATGCTTGTATTTTTTTCTGACTTTTCCTTTTCTCTTATAGCTGCTCAATCAGGAATACTTGATAGAACAATTTCTCTGATTATGAAGAATCAAATACCAAAGAAGAAGGTTCGTATACCTTGCAATAATCAGTCTCAATTATCACCTTCTGTTCTGTGTGAAAGTGGTGTTTTCCCACAATTTTGCCACTTTCTTAATTAGTTTCTTCAGTACAGGTACTTTAGTTTTTGCCTTCAGTACTGTTTTGTGGTGACACAATGTATTTTTCATTATACAAAAAATTAGGATACACACACACCAAAAAAAAAAAGAAAAGAAAAGAAAAGAAAAACATTGTAACTACTACTCAGAGCAAATAATAAATTCTATAGTTCGTATATAATCCCATAAAAATGCTACTTCTCAGTCCTACAATCTCATTTCAATTTTAGTATGATGGCTATACGTCCTGTCCACTGGTGACCGGCTACAACCGTGTGATTCTTGCGGAGTTTGACTACAAAGCTCAGCCACTGGAAACCTTCCCCTTCGATCAGAGCAAGGAGCGACTTTCCATGTATCTCATGAAAGCCGACCTGATGCCTTTCCTGTATTGGAATGTCATGCTAAGGTAGGTGCATCACCTGGTCCTGGTGTGGAGGGCACCCCTTTTAGCAACTGCACCACCTTATGTAGGGTCATGATTTCAAAGAGGCCTTGCAGCTTCCACCTAAAATGGGATTTGTTAATGGACCCCCCCACCCCCACACACACACCTGCCTCCATGCTGTGCCATTTCTCATCAGATGGCAGCCCTGAAGGATTCAGAGCCTCAGCCACATTAGAAAAAGAGGGATGTCCTGGGTGAGGAAAGGGGTTGGCTCTATCACCCATAGGGAATGCTGCCTCTTTTCTTCATTATTGGCAGTGAACATGACTTCTGATTTTCATGTTTTGGTCTTTTTTTGTTGCTGGGTGAATAAATAATAACAGTAAATCATTTTCACATGCCACGTTACTATCTCATCTGCTACTTTACTTTTGTTTTTATTATGTTTGGGGAAAAATAAAAATGATTAGGAGCACAGACTTTGGAGTCCTGCCTCTATTTGAATGATGCATCTGCCACTTACTAGTTTTATGTCCTGGGTAAGTTGCTTAAACTCTGTGTTTAAGTTCCTTATCTGCCAAAAACTGCCCATTTCCTAAGATGGAGATTAATGTGATAACATATGAAAGAGCCAGGTAACAGTAGGCATGTAATAATAGTAGAGTAATACAAATTAATAATTCATATTCCAAAAATTGATGATCTTTTTTGACTTTTCCAAACTCAGATAAGATTGGTAAGTCAGGATATCTATATCAGTGGTCATCAACCAAGAATAATTTTGCCTTCCAAGGGACATGTGGCAGTATCTGGAGACATTGTTGGTTGCCAACAACTGGAGGGATGTTACTAGCATGTAGTGGGCAAAGGCCAGGATACTGCTAAGCATCCTACAATGCATAGGATAGCCCCCTGTAATAAATAATTATCTGGTTCAAAATTTCAATATGGCTAAGGTTAAAAAACCCTGATCATTTAATTCATGAGCAAGTGAAAGCAGTTTGCATGTAATGGAGGCTTCATACAGGTTTGCTGAATTGAGTCAGCATGTCCAGGCTCATGCTATAAGTCAATGTCAAAGCTAGGACTGGAAGTATGTTGTCTTCTCCTAGTTGTGGGATCTTAGTGGACAAATCTTACTTTGTGTGGTGATAAGAATGCTCTGTGAGCATCGCCTCTCTTTTTAATATCCTACAGGCTGAGGTCATCCCATCTCTTTTACCTCAAGTAACTTCTGTATTATTTCTTTTTTAGGGGTTACTGGGGAGGACCAGCCTTTCTTCGGAAATTGTTTCATCTGGGTATGAGTTAAGGATGGCTCAACCTTGCTCTCCTTGGATGGCTTCTATATAAGAATTTCAGATGCTGATTGACCCAGAATGGAATGAAAGACTAACCCTATAAAGAGTTTCTTGCTGGATGATGGTAACTTTTTCAGTACCTCAGAACAGCCACTGTGTGGGCTGCCCAGGGTGGGCTTGGTTGTTTGGAAATATTCAAATGAAAGAATAATAGACTTCTATTTTCTAAATAAAATTTTGTCATTGATTGATTTTTCTGAGATATTTCTATCTTGACCAGAAGGAATGAAAACTTATAGCATTTGGAAGAGAAAAATGGTGTTGGTAGAATAGTTTACTGCTAATCTACCATGCATATTCAATTTATGGCTTCACAGAGCCTATTCAGGGTCACAGAAGAGTCATTTTTAGGGGACAACATTGTTTCAAACACAGTGCATGGCAGCCTTGACTCTTCCTGTTTCAAGTCAATGTCAAAGCTAGGACTTGAAGTGGATTGTCTTCTCCTAGTCATGGGATCTTTCTATCTTAGCAGATAATCTTACTTGTGTGCTGATAAGCATGCTCTCTGAGCATCCTGGCCTCTCTAGAGTCCTAGCTTTGACATTGACTTGTAGACTCAGCAGGTGGACTGGTAGCTCAGCTGCTGCCCTTCTCAGTCCTCTGTGCTGTTTGTGCTTTTTCCACCTAATGAGCGAACACTATGGGGCATGAGGACCAGCACATTACTTGGGATATGGGACTCCTATACTGGGAGATTTATGCTCTGAGAGTCCGCATCAGCCTGGCTGAAGCTTTCTTAGAACTAAACTGTGCTGAATCTGAGATTTCCTGCTCAGTTCTCCTTCCTTCCTGCTCTCCTTTATCAGGATTTCAACATGCATCATGGTCTGAAAGCACACCCCACCTATTCCCATTCTTTCTCCTTTCTCCTTCACCAATGTTTCTCCCACTAAATCTTTTGCAAATCTGATTCTCTCATGGCACCTGTTTCTTAGAGAATGTCCACCTAGTGAGTTGGGTTAGAGGAATCCTGATGCATGTGGCAAGCATTTGCTCATTTCAGCTCCAAATTTGGTGAAAAAGGTTACAAATGAGTTTGCACTGGAGATATTACAGGAAATATTCCAGTTTACTTAAAGTGCAGTGGTAGCTTCAAAATAATTTGCTCCCAATCCATTTATTGTGGAAGTTTAGTTTTAGTTTAGTATGGCTTCTTGAAGCCATGTACATTTCATATTTATAAATGCTCCCGAGGGGAAAGACCTAACAGTCTCTATAATGCCTTATTTTTATAACACTGATTTCTGCATTTTCAGAGAATGGGGCTGCAATTCCTGGGCATGACTGAAGCTCTGGGTGGAGTAACTTTGAAATCCTTACAGAGTTAACTCAAGCCTCCTGGGTCTGTTTATGACAAAGCATACTACCTTCAAGCATCAGGGAATCACTTCAGGGAGCACATTATTCCAGACAGAATTAATTGCGAAGGCTGGAGGGAGCAGTGATCACTGTTGGTCAGCACAATGGGTCTCTGCTCTCATTTCTCTGAGCTAGGAAAGATAGAAATTGTGCTGAAGTCCAGAAAGACTTAGTCTCTGAAATCTCATCACCTTATCACAGATGTGGGGTTTTTCCAGGGAGAGGTCTTCCCTTGGGACTGCCTTTAAAATTAGGAGCAGATTTTAGGAAAAGGGGTGGGAGCAGGGTTGGGATAAGGGTGGTGGTTTCTCTGAGGGTGGTGCCTCAACATAGGGGTGAGGTTGAAGCTCTCACTGACAGATGTCTTCAGAGTCCCGAAGTGACAAAGTGCTGGGCCTACTGACTCAAGGAATTCCCTTTAAATTCTTCACCACTGTCTTCCTTGTCACTCATTCTTTTAAAAAAATTTTATTAATGCATTAAAGTTATACATAATAACAGGGTTCATTGTGACATAATCATACATGTATGGAAAATAATTTGCTCCATTTCAGTCCCCAGTTCTTCCTCTTTCCCTCCCCTCATCCCTCCACCTGTTCTCCTTCCTCTACTCTGCTAGTCTTCCTTCTATTGATTGACTTATTTTTAATTGGAGCTTTATAGATAGGTATAATAAAAGTGGAATTCAGTGTGGTACATTCATATGCATACATAGTATAATCTTCTCAGTTTCATTCTGCAATTTCTTCCTTTTCCTTTCCTCCTCTCTCCCCCTCATTTCCCTTCCTCTGCTCCACTGATCTTCCCTCTGTTTTTATGGGATCCACCTCACTTTTTTCCCCTTTGCATTTTTCTTAATTCTCACTTTGATGTCTGCCCTGGTGAGCTGTGGTGTAATAATAGACCTGAGGTTGAAATTCAGGAATTGCCAGGGTATGGGGAAGGAAGCTAGACTTCAGTCCACTGGGAGAACACAGGGTTTAAGATGTAGAACATTTTTTGGAATTAACATTTGAAATGTTTTTTTTTTTCCCTCATGTCTAAATTTTTTTTTTAGGAAATTTAAAGAACAGAGATCAACAAAAGGAATAAAAATGCCTCCCAAATCTACCATCTTGTTGTTATAACTAATAATGTGTGGGCATATTTTTCTTTTTCAATCTAATATTGTTGCATATAAAGTTATTTGAAAAAAATTGAATCATATTGTAAGTGTTGCTTTATGATCTATGTTCTAAACTAATATGCACTGAGTGCTAGTGTTGGTTGTAGAGAGGAAGCGATTAGTGTGCAGTTACTTGAGGAGCACAGGGCATGTGTGCCAGCTGAGACAACTGCTAATTAATGAGCCCAAGAAAGGTATGTACCTAGTAGGGTATTGATACAGAGCTGGAACTAGGTAATTTTCACATATAATTCTTGCAACAACCCTGTGAATGAAATTATTAAAGACAGAGAATATTATTTTTTTTTGAGGAAGGTGACTTTTGTAATGTAATGCTTAAAAGTGGCTCAGTTGATTAAAAAATTGCATTGGATAACTCTGGTCTGATTCTAAAAGAAATTCTCCCTTTCATGCCATAAGACCATAGGTATTCATTCAGAACAGAAGTATTTTGATCATCTTAGGGAGGGAAGAAACAACAATAACAACAACAACAACAAAAACAGAAAAAAAATTCTTTGGGTAAGATGAGGGCTTCTGAATAAATTAATAAAAACTAGGTCGGTCAGGTTTGTTAACTGCCAAGGAGCTAAGGAAATTGCTTATCTATATGCTGGAAGACGTCAAGGTTAATACTTGGCAATAGATAGGCAGAAAGGTACCAAGATGCAGTTGAGAAAAAGATGGATGGTGAGACAATTTTCTACCCCAATATTGAGTTTTAAAAAGTAACTTCCCCAGTGTATAATATGCCACAGACAACCCTAAATTAGTATAACTTTCCATATTTGCATGTAGTGGGACTCATATGATTACATCCCTCAGGTATAATCTGAAAGCACTCCCAGGCCTGCAGGGAACAGAGGCTGAAGAAGGGCAAGGGCTGAGGTGCTGTGCTAGGCATGAGCTGGGTTTGGGTCTTTTCAAGGGATGACCCAATGGAACAGGCTTTAGGGTTACTAGAGCCAGATGGTGTCCAACTCAAGTGCATTAATCCACCATTTCCTCACTGGAAGAGAGGCTCATGATATCTTCTTCACAGAATCGTAAGAGGATTGAATAAATGGAGGTAAGGCTCTCAGCAGTTTGGCACAGTTAGTAGCAACTTTGTGGTTGACTTTAGGAGTAATGAAGTTTCTTCCCAGACTAAAAATTCCTGCCAGTGTGGCAGATATGGAACCATGACAAGGCTTTCTAGCATTTTTGTGCTAACTGAAGGGTGGGTGGATTTTCTTAATTTTGCCACTACCCCACCTTTCAATGTTATTTCAACAGACTTTCAGACTTGAAAAATCACCAGTGTCACAGATTAATTAGCCAGTGTTGGGGAGTGGCCAAGTGCAGATCTGGATCCAGCCTTTCTGGGTCTGAATCTCAGTTTTGCCTCTCACTAATTGTATGACCTAGAGGAAGTTATTTAAACTCTCTGGGTCCCTGTTTTACTGGGTTATTGTGAAGCTCAAATACGACAAATACTTCTTACATATAAGAAATGCCAAGGATTGTTCAAGGTATAAGCTATTATTAATTGCCATAAGTTAATCAAAAGTTGACTGGTATAAACTACTATTAATTGCCTTAAGTCAATCAAAAATTGACTGGTTGGTCCCTTGTGACTTACAATGATCTATCACCATAAATATGGATGGGTTCTTTCATGGAGGAGTTCTGGGAAGCTGATCTGATTCATGGTGCATGGACTTCTTGTAGATTAGCTTATAGAAGGTCCTTTGTATTCCGTCTTTCTTTATATCAAATCATTCCATCTGTCTATGGTATATAACTACATACCATAGGAATATATTGGATATACTGTTGGGTATAGAAGATCAATGAGCAGAAAAATTCCTTATTAATTGTTCCCATAAACATTTCATTTATTGAGTATCTAATAGATATAAGGCCCTTGGGATTCATAGATGAGAGTGAGTTCTGCTTGATTATTTATGTGTCTATCATGAGGATTGCCATGATGGATGTTACAGTATGTTCCCATTGTATTCAGAATATGCTTCTGACATATACCAGGCATTCAGGAAAATATCCAGAAGCATTACTTAGGTGCTGAATTAGTCAGGATTCATTTGGTTGCAAGAGACAGAAATCCATCCCAAATAATCCTAAACGAAAAAGGGAAATTACTGGCCCATGTAATCCAAGGGTAGACTTAAGGCTTGGCTTGATCCAGGAGTCAAATATAATCCAATGTGCTCTCTTTTTATTTCTCAGTTCCTTTTCCCTCTGAGCCACTCTTCTACTATAGATAGGTATTCCCTTTGTGGTCAGGGAAGAATGCTATGTACATGTCCTTTCACCTTGACCTCCTCCAAGGAAAAAAACAACAACTGTGCTTTCTAAATGTCCCTAGACTAATTCCAGGGAAGAATTATAGTTACCACTGGATAAACAAATAAAGGTGTTTTCCTTATCTGAATGAGTGCAGGGATTTGTCTTCTTATGTCAAGTTCTTTATCAGTAGGACCTGGAATTTAGTACATAAGGCACATTGTAAGTACTCAGTCAAAATTTAGCTAAATTTTGGTCATTGCTCACTCCATATATAGGGGAATAGGGCTGGCAATACAAAGAAGAAAATTGATAAAAAATGTTCTAAGCATTTGCAAACCATTATTATCTCTCTGGTCCTGAGCAAGACTTAGACAG